TATCTCGACTCTACATCTAATAAAGTTGATATGCAAAATGTTCAAAACAATGATGATGTCCAGAATGTAGAAGTAAGTAAACAAAACAGTAAAATTAATAAATTGATTATATTTCATTATTTATTTACAAGTACTACATTACGTTGTGCATTGATTTTTAGGTAATAAATGATTATCTCGACTCTACATCTAATAAAGTTGATATGCAAAATGTTCAAAACAATGATGATGTCCAGAATGTAGAAGTAAGTAAACAAAACAGTAAAATTAATAAATTGATTATATTTCATTATTTATTTACAAGTACTACATTACGTTGTGCATTGATTTTTAGGTAATAAATGATTATCTCGACTCTACATCTAATAAAGTTGATATGCAAAATGTTCAAAACAATGATGATGTCCAGAATGTAGAAGTAAGTAAACAAAACAGTAAAATTAATAAATTGATTATATTTCATTATTTATTTACAAGTACTACATTACGTTGTGCATTGATTTTTAGGTAATAAATGATTATCTCGACTCTACATCTAATAAAGTTGATATGCAAAATGTTCAAAACAATGATGATGTTCAGAATGTAGAAGTAAGTAAACGAAACAGTAAAATTGGTAAAAAATTAATTACATTTTATTGTTTATTTACAAATATTACATTATGTTATATAATAATTTTAGATAATAAATGAATCTGTTGACTTTACATATGAAAACGTACAAGATGATGTACAAGATCAAATTCAGGATGTAGAAGTATGTGATAAAAGAATTAATAAAAAATTTAATTGTAAATCAAATAATTTGAAAGTATGGCCGAAGACAGTTGATATATATATTTAGAAATTTAATAACATTTAAGTATTAAGATCTAACATCGTCCGTTTTCAGTTGTTCTTTCAAATTATTTAATTATTTAGCGATCTAAATTTATTTATTTATTCGAAATTAATTATATTTAAATTATTTACGATTATTATATTATGTTATGTGTTAATTTTTAATTGATTTATATTTATAGATGACTATAGATGAAAATATGGTATCTAATACATTGACAGGCAATGAATCACATACTTACAAAAAACATAAAGCAACAAGACTCAGTTTAATTCGCTTACGCAAAAAATTTGAAATTATGAAATATAAAAATAGATTATTGCAAGACAAAATTAATAACGATAAGTACAAAGTAGCTTTAAAGAAAATATTTACCGAAAATCAAATCCAGGTTCTACTTGCAAAGAAAAGCAATGCAAAATGTTGGTCAAATGATACAATTCAACGAGCTCTAAAACTAAAATTCACTTGTGGCACTACTGGCTACGAAGAACTTCTTCAGCAAGGAATGCCATTTCCAAGCCTTCGCACTTTACGTCGAAAATTAGAAAATTTTAAATTTGAAAGTGGCATTTCAAATGAGATGTTTGAGTTTTTAAAATTTAAAGCTTCTTCATTCGAGGATATTGATAAAGAGTGCGGATTAGTTTTAGACGAGATGAGTATAACTTCGAAAACTGTTTTTGATCCATCAACAAACACAATGCTTGGAAACATAATATTTCCTAATGACAAAGGTATTGCTACGCATGTTTTAACATTTATGATTACAGGTACAGCTAGTAGATGGAAACATGTTGTAGGTTACTTCTTTACGGGTAATTTGTTTGATGGAGAAGTTTTAAAAGATTTAATTTTTCAGATAATACAAAAAGTGGAAAAAATTGGTCTCCACGTTAACTTTGTAACCTCCGACATGGGTCCTGGAAACATGAAAATGTGGAAATGTTGTGGAATAAATGTGGGGCGGTCCTCGGAACTTAAAAATTACATACCACATCCGTCTGATCCTAACAGGCGCTTATATTTTATTGCGGATGTACCACATTTGTTAAAGAACCTAAAAGAATCGTTAATAAATAATAAATTTTTTATCTTACCCCAAGATTTTGTAATAAAGTATAATTTACCATCTAACCAAGTTGAAATTGCTCATTTTATTGATTTAATTAAATCTCAAGAAGATTTAGATTTCCTTTTAACACCCAGATTAAATATTAATGATATTAAAAGTCCTAATACTTTCAGTAAAATGAGGGTAAATAAAGCAAAGAATGTGTTTTCAACAGATGTTAGTTCATCATTAGAATTTTTATCAGACGAAAATTGTAACCCGGAATTTTTGACAACTGCATGGTTTGTTAAAAGTATATCAAAATGGTTTTCATTAATGACCTCAAGAAACTGTAGTGTAGCTTTAGGTTTAAAAAACAAAGAAAAATATGATTCAAGTATTACTTTCTTATGTGAAATAATTACTCTTTTTGAAACAATAAAAATTGGTAAGAAACATATATTTAAACCTATACAAAGAGGAATAATACTTTCTACGACATCGATTATTGATCTTGTACAATATCTCTTAGAAGATCGTAATTTTCAATTTGTACTTACTGCTCGGTTCACGCAAGATTGCATAGAGAACTTACATTCACTTTTGCGTCGCAAAAATGTAATTCCAGATTGTTTACAACTAAAAAATGATTTAAAACTTATTGCTATAGCAATGTATATGAAAGAAATAAGAACAGGAAATTATGAATACGATGACAATGAATATCTTACTGGCTTTTTAGAATATTTAACTTCAACAAAAAATCGTACAAAAGATAATATTAATATAGTATCTGATTCTACATCTATTTTCATCTATTTTCATCTACGATTTTAAATAACATTCCTTCTTTTGATCCAAAAAAGGAAATAATATATAATAATAAGGAAATGAATTCTTTATATAATATCGCAGGTTATTGTGTAAAAAGTGTTAAAAATACATGTATTACATGTTCTAATTGCATACGATCTGTTGGTTCAAAAGAACCATTGAATTTTACATTTTGTAAACTAGTTCGGCTTAAATGTTATAATGCAAATACATTATTTTTTGTTAACATATCAACATTTAAAGTTCTTTTAAAATTAGAAAGCATTTATAGGCATTACAATCTTTATTTTCACATGATGTCTAATGTGAATTTACAAAACTTTGTTAGAAAAATTTAATGCTATTCCAGCAAATCACATTCCAAATTGTCACCATTTGCGTACAAAATTGTATAAAAAATTTGCCACGCTAAGATTAAAATTTAAAAAACGTAAACATGTAGCAGTATCTAATCGTACATATTGTGACAGCAAATCCATGGCCATGCATCATACATTTAAGTAAAATTATTATGTATTTTCATTATGCATTTAAGCAAATAATTATTTTTATTATGCGTTAAAGGAATATTTTTGTTATGTGTTAAATAATATCAAAGGAATAATTATTTTTATTATGCGTTAAAGGAATATTTTTGTTATGTGTTAAATAACACCAAAGGAATAATTATTTTTATTATGCGTTAAAGGAATATTTTTGTTATGTGTTAAATAACACCAAAGGAATAATTATTTTTATTATGCGTTAAAGGAATATTTTTGTTATGTGTTAAATAACACCAAAGAAATAATTATTTTTATTATAAATAACATGAAATATACATGAAATATTTTTTTCTACATAAATATACTTTATTTATTCCCTATTGGTGCTACCTAAGTATTTTTTGTTAAGAATTTTAAAGCATTAATTGTATTATTTGTATTTAAATTTAATTTTTATTAAAGTTTCTTAATCTTGTAATATTTTTATAAATTTTATATATTCTTAATATATTAATTTTTATATTTTCAATATATTTATAATACTTACTTAATTGTTGTTTTTATTTTATGAAAGACATATTGCAACGTTTTTTTTACATAAAAGTTTTTATAGAAAATATTTAATAATGTTAATATAAGTTAAATAATAATAAAAATAAAAATTGTAATTGATTCTACTTTAATTTTTACGAATTTATTAATTTTTACAATTTATAAATTTAAAGAAATTTGCGGGAATGGATGATAAATGTCGGACCAATCACAAACCGGGGAGAAGGTGGCCAGACTCTTATTA